TGATTGTCAGTCTCTCAACATGAATACTAGAAAAGCTTTACTCTTTTATTCAAATAACGGCCCAAGTATTACAAAAATAAGCCTGATGTAAAGTGTTTCATGCTGGGCATGTAATGAACTTGAGAACAGCAATTGTTTATAGTCCTGCCTGCAATTTCTTCTGTCTGCTGGAAGTTGTGCCAGTCAGAGAGCACACAGTTATCTAGGGAAAAGATGAAGATAAAAATCCAGAAGTCCTAGGTCTGAATCAGACCAAAACCATCATTTTTTTGACATTTTTTTTTCCCATAAAATGGAGCTTGTTGGGCCTGTGGCACCTCAGTGAAGTAAACATCCCTGTCAGTTTTACTTTACATAGTTTTTTTCACATTCTTAGGGCTCTCGGGAAAACCCAACTTCTCAGATTCTCATCTGTGACAGACATGCCTGTCTCAGTTATCAAGATTCAGAGTTTTGCCTCACTAGACAGCATCTCATCAAAGATCAAATTTAGACTAGCAGTACATTCCCAGTGCATTTATTGCTCAAATATTCAAACTTACTTTTTGTGTAAGTTATCAGGAGGTAAAACTAAGGAAAGAACAGACTTAGTTTCACCAAAGCCCATGCATAGTGGTAAAATTTAGAACTAAATGCCAGACTAACAGCACCAAATACATGGAAAATGCCACTGAATATCTTGTTTTACCTTTGAGGGATTTTGTTATGATAGTAGTGATCTGTTGTGGATTAATATCAAATTAGTATAGCTGAATCATTTTTATACATTTGAGATCCAGTAATTTAAAGAAGGATGTCAAATAATGCTGAGTTTCCAACCAGGTTTTTTCTGCAAGAAGCCAAATGTACTCCCGATTTTCATCCAAGAAAAAGTTACAACTAAGACTATCTGACAGTTTCATTTACCAAAGCTATAACCAGGGAACTAGCCAGGTGTTTGGTGAGTTTTCTTCTTAGAATGGAATTACATGCAGAGTCCTCTGGCCTGGTTTGACATGCTGAGATCCGCCCTAAGGACTCCACCAACAAGGTGCTGGTGCCAACCACCCTGCCAGGTTCTTGCTGCCCAAACCCAAACCCACATCTGAACAGCAAGTTTCCATCCTGTAGAAGTGCCTGCAAGGCACACAGACCTGGGCTGAACCCTCACTTGTAAAGGATTTGTAAATAACACTCTTCCTGATATATTAGCAAGAAGAAAGTGGAATAGGTGGTCTGTATTCTACCAAGTGAACTTTTGCAGGTGTCTTAAAGAAGAGGTACAGATACAATTTTATTTTCATATCTCCCTCTGGAAGTCTACAGCTTTCTCCATACCTGGGACAAATGGACTTGGCAACTGAGCCTGCTTTTCAACATGGTGTCAGACTTAGAAGCATTCACCCCACCAGAAGACAAAAAAGGCACGTCCATCACTTATAAATGCACGTTGTATTTTCTCCTTTTCTATAAATACTGAAAATTTTTTTCCTGACACGAGTAATGGTTCATCCATATTCCATTAGAGAAGGACCACTAAGTGGCAAAACCATTTATTTCCTGAAGCCAATTTCCATCCAGATGTAAAGAGGAAAATCCACCAGCTCTGAAACAGAAATGCTGATAATTTTAATTTTAGCCTTCTTAATGTGCTATACTACTCATTCCTAGCTGCAAAATATGTCATCATCTTCCACAACTAGTTTTTAGATTTAGATGAGACCATAACACAGAAACTTTGTGCTTTATCTAACTAACAAAATTCCAAATAAATTTAGCCTACTGACTGGGACTGGGGATTCTTTCAAGTAAGTGCTACTAAGGACCTCTTCAGCCTGCCACTGGGGCCAGGGTCACAGCACCAAATCTTGTGATAACTGTAATACCTGCAGAATGGACCAGATGCACCTGTGATCTGAGCAGGAATGTTGCAACTTTATTAGCTGCTATATTATTAGTATTATTATTAACTGTTTTGTCTTCTCAGCACTCTCCGCACATCCTTCAGCTTCACCATAAGCAACTCTGAATCATAAATGTAAGTTCTGTGTATTTCATTTTGTGCTCCTTTTAGTTCAGGTACAATGATTAGCAAGAAATGTAGTGCATAATCCTGTCTTTGCTGTGTCACAACAACTATTTTGCTTAACCTCAGCTCTAGTTCTGCAGTACTGTACCTTAGATTTCTCCTTGTAGAAATATTGGAGAGAGAAGAAACAAAGTATGAAACAAAGTAGAAACTATTTTAATCTGACATCTGATGACTAAAATATAATTCCTACAGAACTAATATTATTGTTTAATACCATAGAAACATCCTTTTATTCACACTACTCTTTAATTGTTGATTTTCAGTGAATGTCAGAAGTTTGCATCATGAATACGTACTTGGGTACAAGTATCAAGCTGCTTGTATATTCACACTTTACTAGATTCACCACAGGAAGATCCTGCAGCTGGCAAGTTTGGCAGGCACTAATTGAAACTAGCTCTCTTAAATAGACTTAATTAACCTGGCAGACATAATATGTATGATTTTATCTCTTGTAATTCCTTTCCATTATTATTTCAAACCATTTGTTTTGTCTCCTCATTCCGCCCCAAACTATTGTTGCCTCCCTGACACAAATTCTGATCAGACACATTTCTACTACTATACTTTACTTCAGTTTCCCTCACTTTGTTTTTCCAGGGTTGTGAGGATAAGTGGGACATTACATTGAGGGAAAGATCCTATTCTGCAGATGGTGACAGGACTCTACAGCACTGCCATGTCATGGGAGTAGAAAAGAGGGTTGTAAAGCACTGTGGGGAGACAGCATTCTTTTTTCAAGCCTGCACAATAAATAATGCCATATCTGTAAATGACACTCAAGAAAGGAGAAAATATAAGCTGAGACTCTCTCAGCAACTTTACCCTGCAACATCAAGAGATGTGCATGCAAAGCAACATGTGGGATCCACTTTTTCAGTCTTTACTTTTTGTAAGCTAGGTTTCTTCTCTTGTTGTAAAAATACTGTATAATCTCCATCAGATTTTCAGGATTTCCCCATTTCCCTTGTTGTCACAATGCAAAAGATGAGAGTCTTTTTTTGTTGTTGTTGTTGTTTTTTTAATAAGGTAGAGTTCTTAATGATATATTTTTCAAACATACACCATTCTATAATGTTTCAAACCTGAAAGGACAAGTAAAACAAATACATGGGCTTTGAAAACCTCAATCACTGTTTGCATTTTAATGATTCATGACATGTAAGATCACAGTATTTTTCAAAGTTGTATGTAATAACTTTTCACTTCTCAGAGATAAAAACAAACCCTAAATAATTAATTATCTCTCTGATACTAAGATCTATAAACGCAGACATTATTTCTAGAGCAATGAGAAAGAAGCAATACATTCAGATCTCGCAAATTTCACGTGCTGAAACTGGCATTTCTTGGATTCGCAGTGCTATCTTGTGGCCAGATCAGGCACCTACAATCCAACAGCGTTCTACCCTAAGCCTTTCGGCCACTATGTCTACTCAAAATGCAGCAAAACGCTACAGGCATAGAAATCTGCCAAAACCAGATAGTTTTAGTAACATACGCGCTCTCTCTCTCTTTTTTTTTTTCCCCTTTAATCCCCACTGGGTAAGTTACATAATGTCAGTTTATAAAAAATATTCTTCAAATATTCAACTATTTGAAGATTGTGTTAAAAAAAATAAATTACTCTTGTGCATGAAAGAATTATCTAGTATTACCTCTTTAAATTTAAACAATGTTAATTTCTACCATAGATTTTTATTCTATGCTTTACAGGCATTTGGATATATCACCAATTATACTTCAAGATAATAAATGCATCAAGGGTAGAAGAAATCATTCTCACCCCATCAGTGTGTGCTCAGCCCAGATCCATCTCCGCATTTCCCCATTTCAAATGGGCACTGAACAAGATCTGTAGACTTGCATTTCCTCACGTGGGAAGGTGGGATATGGTAGCATGTGCGAGCCAACCATAGTAAGGCAGTAGGCAGGCCCACATTCACAGTTCTGCTATGGTGGCAGCCGTGTCTTTATTTCACAGCACATGCTGAGCCTGCTATCTTCTCATCTACATTCTTGTCCAACTCTTTCCAACTGCCAGCTTTTCAACCAGGAGGCACCCCATTTCTCCCCTTCCTTTTGGACACAGATCCTCCAACTACTTCACTTCAAAGCTTCCAGCACTGTCCTATCCCAGACTTCTCTTGCCCCTTCTCAACCACCTCATTCTTTCTGGTCCTCTTAACCACCACCCCATCCTGGTGGTCTCTTCTCCTGCTCTGGGTTGCAGCCTCTCACCCACCTAATTCAAGCTCTCATTTATCTACAAGCCCAAAGTCCAATTTACCCACTCATTGCAATCATAGATGGACACACAGTAGGTTTTGCAATATGAAGAGAGGCACCCATTGCTCATCTTACCTTTGTCCTTCCAATCTCAGATGCAGAGAAAAGCGGGAGAAAAACAAAGCAAAAAACACTCCAGTAAACTCAAATGTGTACCAACATTAGATAAGTTGATGGGAAATCCTTTCTTTACTCCTCTGCTTTGAGGTGGTAGACTCAGGAGGAAAATTCTTAAGATAGGTGGTGTCTTACATGAAATCTTCACTTCCATCTTACTAAATATACACCATAAAATCTCACAAATTTACATGATAACAACAAGAGTGTCTCCACTCCTAGTTATCTTCTAAAGTCATTGATCCACAGGCATTCAAGAGAAGAAAGAAAACAAAACACTGTAAGCGGTACTTCAATTGTCTTTTGGTCAGTAAAAGCATTTGACTGCAAATTTGTATAAATTAAAAAGAATGTCTCAATGAGATCACTTCCATTTTGCCAGATTCAAGCACATCCATAATAAGTTAGAAAAATGTACACAGGTGTATAATCAATGGATATTAAGATGTTATAATCACAAAAAGAACAAAAGAGTTAGGCAAAGTAGACTAAAATAATAAGAGAGAATAAATGGAAGGCTTACCTGTTTGCTAGGCTCACCTACAAAAAACAGCAGTAGAGGGGATCTCCAGACAAGATCCTGCCCTACTGGTAGCCAGCTCTTAAATAGGTCTGGCAGGGGTGGAGCCTGGCTCCATCCTTCCCGGCAGCACAGGTGAATTGCCTTCACCTGTGCTCCTCTGGCTGACTCATGGCTCGCCTCAGGTGATCAATCAGAGGTTCAGGCTGTGACTCAGCAGTTCCCGTACAACAGGGAAGGAAGGATTAAGGAAACCTTGAATCAAGAGGCAGAAAAAAACTGGAAACTGAGAATAATTTAGCATCTTCAACTGCCTTGGACATTTTGCTTTATATAAAATATTCAATTTTATTTCACTGGTTTTATTAGTAGTGAGACAAGAAGTGCTAAAGGAAAGTTAATGTGTAGCACATTTAGTGTAATATTTAAGCCTGTTTCACGTAAAAGTTTCAAAGAGAAAATTTTAGGGAAACAACCCTCTTTCCTCTTCCTGATGCTCTTCTCTTCCCACTGAATTTAAATTGCCCTTCAAACATTTCGGAGCTTATAAATAACCTTGACGTTCTTTCTCTGTGTTACTAATTGTAACTAATTGTAGCATCAGTGTTGGAGAATCAGCCTTGAAAACCAAAGAAACAGAAAATTAACCTGTAAGAAATTCTCATTTTTACAGACAATAGTCAAATTACTAAGGGTAAACCAGGATGATACTTAAAGTTCTTCCTTGAGATTATTATCTCTTTGGAGTACTAAACTTCTATTCTTAAAGAGCAGCTATGTTTATTTCAAAGACACTGCAATCTTCTATAAGCTTGCATAAGCTAAAAAGTTTCAAAGTGTTAAGCAAAGAACATAAAAATATTTTCCTAAATGATTTACTGGCTGGTATGTTATAGCATCATTAAAAATACTTTCTAATAAATTAAAGACTAAATATAGTTATATTTACTAGTTTGCTTTAGATATCTTTGATTGCAATGAAATTCCAAGACAATCCTTAGTTGTATATATGGAACAGTGCTCATAAGCAACAGCAAGAGGATGAGTGAAGCTGTTCAACTTTTTTCTTTTTTTCCCCTTAATCTTCTTGAATTATTCTCCTTCCTTCTGGAAAGCAGTAATCCCTTTTTATCCCAAATAAACAAGGCTTATGAAATTATATTTTATATATATATAGTGTATGTGCATTTGTACATGTTCTGCAACTTCCGCTTATACTGTACACAAATTGAGTTGTTAGAACAAGTCCCAATGTATCGATTTTCTAAAGCTTAAAAAAAAATGACATCCAGTTGGAGGAGGATGGTTTTCTCAGCATCTTCACTGAGAGAATGTAGTCTGACCCCGGCTCTTACAGAATAGCCAGAAATTCATTGCCAAGAAGGATGTTCTGAAATTTTCAGCCATGGAAACGTTGTTGTCAGAACTTACTGCTTATTTGACACCAGCAGATCAAACAGAGAAAGTGAGACTATAGAAAATCAGCCTTCATCATTTCTGCTTTCCATGGTGTTGTTTGTTATTACATGAAGGCAGTGGAATGGTAAAATACTGAAGACACCAAAACGTCTTTGTTAACTTATGGTTTGTCTTATTTTGACATTGTTTAAATTTTAATTCCATTTTAAATCATACCTAAAATTAAAATGATATGTTTGTGTTATTCTTCCATCTCCAAACAGAAAAACTATTGACAAACAAAAATGGTTTGTGGTCAGTTGATATAGCAATCCTGTATTACCATGGGTTTAGTTTTTATACATGAACTTCGGGATGAAAAATTCTTTCCAACTGTTAAACTAATTTAAATTTACTTTGGCATGTAATTATCACTACTTACATTTAGTTTACATGCACATGTGCTTGTTTGCATCAAGTCTACAATAATTCATACACTAATATCTTGGAAGAAAGCAGTGAACTAATTCACTGTAAGCTTGACTTTTAAGAGAAATTATACAAAAATAAAGGGGAAGGAAGGAAGGAAGGAAGGAAGGAAGGAAGGAAGGAAGGAAGGAAGGAAGGAAGGAAGGAAGGAAGGAGCTTGTTTTTACTGTTTAAGTATATTGGAATTTCAGTATTACATTGGTTAAGCCACAGATAAAAAGCATACTGCGGACACTTAAACTTAGGTTTTTGTACAGTGCTACGTAGTATTGTGTTTAGTGTAGGCCAGCAGTTTCATATCACACAGTAAAACAGCTATGAGCTTTAATATGAATCATCTTTTCATCTATAGATTTGTGTTCCAGTTACAAGTTTGTATCCAATTTTCTTAAAAGTGGAAATAACTTTTACATATACTTTGTAATTCTTCTTGGTTTTATTCTTTGGTGTTCTACTGGCTCATTGTTAAAACCAAAACTGTTAGGATGGCTTTCAAATAACATTTTTGACAGGCAGGAACATCCCTACACTGATAACAATATGGAATAGCTGTAAGTATCGTTAGTATTTCAAATGCAAAATTTCCAGATATATTGCAATTCAGGTATCTTGATTTTTTGTTTTTGTGTTTGATAGAATATTGCTTGTTTGTTTTCTGTTGCTTTGTAGGGATTTTTTGGAAAGGCAAGGCAGCTGGAAGGAAACACACTGAACTGCACTGTAAGAAATTCTGAAGATACAAAGAACAGGGCTCAAGGTGAAACAGTCTTCTGAATTAAATGAGTCCCCCACCGTACTGTCAGAGTAGAGTACAGCTTCAATGCCACTATGCACAACCTAAAAATTGTTCCCTCCTTTAATTGAAAAGGCTCTGTAAAATTTCACAAAATTGATGGCATATTCTACCAACTATAGAGGGAAATTTGTAGGCTCCAGTTTCACTATGACCACAACTCATCCCTTAAATCCAGTATAGCCAGTTCTTTGATGACACTGATTTTAGAGCCCCTGGCAGCTATCATGAGTGGGAACAGATGTGTCAACATTACCAATGAAATTAGAGTCTCAAAAATAAATCATGTCTACGCTTGAAATGCACAAAGCCCCTTACTGTGAGTCCTACATCTGCCCTTCACACAAAGGAAGAGAATCAATCTTAGAACTGCAGTATTTGGGAATTACTTTACATTTACTCAATCTTATCCACAGGCAAACTGATAGATCTCACAAAACGTTGGTAGAAAACATAAATTTCAGTGTAATACAATGGAAATTTAGAATAAAAATTTAAGAGTGTAAAACTGTAGTTAAGAAAAGGTATTGATCTTTAAATTTTTTGTTTCTGACAACTTAGAAGTATGAGAAATTATAACATTAGTTTACTTAAATACATTAAACACTTTTTTCAAGATTTGGGACACTGTAGTAATAACATAAACTGATGCACACTTCTATTTTATACCTGTTGATTTTTTTGTTGGCAGAATATATATATGGTTTTATTTCAATCAAAGCAGAAAGTCTGATGGATACAGTGAGTAAACATAAGTTTTAGTCGTCTCTCTCCACTGTAAACTATGGCACATAGTAAACTTTACGAGTGAATTTGACAGATCGTGGGTTTTAATCATGAGAATGTTGTTAAGTAGCTTAGAAAGCTTATTTCTTCATCATTTTTTTTACCATCTTCATAGCAGGATATTTGTCTTCATTTTATATGTAAATGCATGACTGGTCAACATGGTTGATTTTTCTCTTTTTGCAGTGCTGCTTAGAATGTAAAGAATTGATCTCCCTGTCTCCAGCCAGCAAAAGTAGAAGGTATTCAAGGTGGCAGGCATGTAAATACTGCATTCTCTCCTTGGAAATGCACATACATTTTGGAACTGATGTTGCGCTTTAATATTAAAGGATTGCAAACTGAAAGTTACTTTTCTATAGCAAATATATGGAAAATATGACAAAGTAAAATTAAAAAAAAAAAGTGCATCACTTCTGTGTCTTTATTGTAATGGATACTGTATTTTATGAGTCACAAATCTCTTCAGGAATATAAAACTGCATTAGAACTTCAGTAATTTTCCAGGGTTTAAACGAAGGTCATTGGTTATCAGATTCACAAGTAATATGCTGGGAAATATATTCACCTCTCATTTTCATAACACTAAAATGTAAGTTTGCCTTCCCAACCCTTTGCTTTGGCAGAAAAAAAAAAAAAATCATTATAACAGCACATTCTGTTTCATGACTTCTTTTGCTAATAAGACTAGATCCTCCATTTTCTGTCAAATGTATTTTCATTCCCTTCTGACAGGAATTTTCCTAGTGATACAAGACAGACGTGAATTTTTGCTGGAGTTTTTAGTGAGTAGCATCATCAATTCTCAGAGCTTTGAATTAAAAATTGCTAAAGAAGTATGCTAGCCTTAGAAACAGTTTGACTGTGTTTTACAAGGTTCATCCAATTTACAGCTCTGCTACAGAAGCTTAGATTCATTCTCTTTCCCTTCTTCTATTTCACTCTTAGGTCTGATAGAGACAGGATGTACCACGTTTGTTGAGTAGTCACAGTCACATAGAAAGGATGGAATTTGGAATTCACTCATGACTGGTTATGCTGGGATTACAAAATTCATTTCACGTAACTGAAAAGCTGAAAGACATTGATATGAAGTCAAATGATCAGCAATATGATATGCTACAGTGTTCTTTATTTTAAAATTTCACATGTAATGGTTAGAAATAAAGATAACTGACAAAATAACAGACAAATGTAAGCTTATCACAATTTAAATGTAGTGATGGAGATTATAGATCTGCTTAATTTCTTTACATTTGTCCATCTCTCTCTTTCTGAAGAAACTACTTAGAATGTCACTTTTTTCAACATCTCTTTTATTGCAATGTTCATTTCATATTTCCCTTCAGTAGCGTACGTCTGAATATTTTTTTACATTATGATTGAAATTATCCACTGTAGTACCATAAGACATCAGTTTCTTCATAATCCTGTGCCTAATGCTTAGTCTTCATTTGCACTTCCCCATTGTTCCCTTTCACATCCTTCTACATTGCTCCATTTTCAATCACTGTCTTATTACACCAGACCCCTTTACATTTTTGTCTATATTTTTCATTTGACATAAATCTATTTCATGCCCCCTATCTT